ATATATATGTTATCGTGCGATAAGATGATTGATATCCCATCATACATAACCATAGGTTTTATGTTCGAGTTATGAGAATGAAAAATCATTCGATAGGACAAGAATATAAATTGTATATATATAAGAACGAAAAAGATAGTTCCTGGATAACAAGCCTAAAGATTTTCTTCTTGAAGAGATCGATATTGATGAAAGTGACGATATTGATGCTAGTGACGATCTTTAATGCTAGTGATAATGTATTAAAGAGGGTCTCTCTAACCAGTGAAAAGTGGCGGGTGTCCACTAATTTGCCACTCCTAGCTCGACTCCGATAACGCTCCCCAAAAAAAAAAAAGAAAATTAACTTTAAGATAAGCTTCTAGGTGATTAAAAAATAAATTGTATATGATTGAGTTCACATCCTGAAGAATTTAATGTTCTTATATATTTATTTACATGTTCCACGACTAACAATTTTATTTTTGTTATTTTAAGTAATCAATGACATTTCCGTTTTATTTCCTTTAGAAATGTGCTTTATCCTCCGTTTAATTATGCTTAATATTTAAATTCAGAAACAAGTCAAAAATACATCATAGTTTTTAAATATCTTTCCACCAAATGGGTAAAATTGCCTTTAAAAATACTTGGACTTTAAAGAAAGTTGTAATGTCTAGAATATAAAGTTACAAAGGAAATCGAAAAATCCCATCAACCCGATAATGGGAATCAAACCGAGAAAAAAAATCGATTATGGTTTGGTTTGGTGTTGGAAAAAAGAACCCGACCATAATTAGTTTGGTTTGATTTTAACTGAAGAAAGTCAATACTAATGCTAACAAAAGACATTCAATTCAATACTACGCGGTAATGTATTGAATATTTATTTTTTGTTTTGCAATAATTTAGATAAAATGCATAACCTTTTTCTTTTAGCGTTTAGTCATGTAACTAATACTCCTTTATTAGTCTACTTATTTTAGCATGACTTAGTACCTTTAGATTATATTTATTTTTATTATGTCTTTTTAATTAGCAATATTTATATTACATATTTTATTGTCTTTATTGTTGAATATTTTAGGATAATGCCATGACACATCTCGTATTTTATATTATTTTTTCGGAAATATAGTTGTATCTTACGAAGATTTTACCGGAAAAAATCCGTAAAAAAAAAACCCGAATAACCCGAAAACCCGAGAAAAATCGAGATTGAAAAACCCGAGTTTTATTGGTTTGGTTTGGTCTTTAGGCTTAATAACCCGACACAATTAGTTTGGTTTGGTAATTATAAAATCCGAACTAACCCGATCTATGTACACCCCTAGCTATAACCTTTGACAAGTGAGGCTTGCTCAGTTGGTAAAAGCACCTCCATCTACAATTGTTAGGTTCTAAGTTCGAGTCATGCTGGAGGGAAAGTGTGAAAACAGTATAGATCCTCCTAAGCAGGGAGGGGTTAAAAAGAAAATGCTATAACTACTTCTAAACAAGTTCAATTCTACCAATAGGCAATAGCAGTCCAAATCTTATAAGATTGTGGTCCAAGTCAATCGGGGTAGGAAAACGCCCAAATCATGTTTAATTGGTGCAACTCACTTGATTACATGTGAAAAAGTTTCTATACATTCAAGTTCAGATGCCCCACACAAAAAATTGTCCCAATTATTGCCCCCCAGATTTTACTAAATTAAGAACTTCCACTTAATTAAAGACAACCGAATATTCCTTTGTCCCAAGATAATATCCTATGAATTGATTCAAGTCCATTTTTAACTCTAAAAATTTGTTGACTTAGGGACATATTGCCACTTTTTAGCTTGTTAGTCTAAGTTCATGACTTCAGAACCTATTGTCTTTAACTTTTGAACTTGTAACTGTAAGTTCAAGACCTATTGTCCTTAACTTTTGAGTTTATTAGTCTAAGTTCACGAAACTAAAACTCAAGATCAACCACCCTTTCACTGTTTAAGGGGAGGCATCTCCTCCTGGTAACCATATTTTACTGAAAGATCAATAGAGTAATAGGAAAAGAATCAATATTGTAATTGTAAGCAGTCATTCTAGATTAATGCATTTTTTTGTTTTACGTAGTAGGATGAGCAAACGTTTTTGAAGGTATTCGTTGGTGTTGATCTGAATATTGTGTCGAGAATTTTCAGTAAGCAGCTATTAGTATTTGAATATTTTGCACAACTCCTGAATTTTGTCTCCAAAGAAACTAGCGAACAGTCCAATATTTCCAATGTATTTGATGCAGAGAGAAAACGAGGGTTTGGGAAGAAAAGCAAGAGAAGAAAGAGTAAAAATGTCTTTTCATATTAATTTTAATAAAATAGTGACTATTTTTGCTCCACATTAGAATTGCTGGACAAAATATAAATACCATCTTAAATAGTGACTACCCCATGCCATTTCTACTAAGTTTTCATGACTTGGGCTCATAAATCCTTTCTTTCATTAATAAATAGAGCCTTTTAGGTTTTCACGGTTCGGACTCATCAATCCTTTCTTTCATTTATCAATAGAGCCCTAATCGGCTACATTTGTAACCCGAAAATGACAAGTGAAAGTCAGAAAAAGAAATTAGAGTTAATCTAAAATGCGGACTTTAGAGCCAAATATGACCTCAACTAGGGCAGATAACGTTATGTACCAAGTACAAAACTATATAATAAAACATAAACGTATGGGGCACGTGATTTCGTGGAAGAACTCAAATTTCTATGATTACTTATCTATTATCTTGGCCTTAACACCATATAAAATCAAGAGACAGAGAAACAAGAATATCTACCCTGAGGATCTCCACCAACTCCAATTGAGGGTCCCAAAATAATAGAAATTAGGAAATAAAAGAACATCAATTCAATCACTTTATGTTATGTCAATTTAATAAACAAATCCTGTTTAGACTCTTTTATGTTGGTGAGAAGACAAAATTATTCTAATAGTTATTAGGGGCAAAAGGATCAAAATTTGGGTGCACATGTGCACAAAAGATTAAATGGAAAGCATGCCAAAACAGGAGGAGGCATCAATACCCATAAAAACAAAAAGGCAAAGACACATTTAAGATTTAAGTATGAATAATATGGGACTTGAAAGTGAAAGTAGTGGAGTGGGGGTGGGGGAGGAGGGGTACCCCCTCTGTGATACCATTCAAATTTGTGTCAGTAGCCATGTGATAGTATGGCCCTTCAACCCTCATGTCCAACTAAAAGAAACCACAAAATGAGACAAAAGAGTCCCCCTTAAAGTAGCCTTTGATAGCACAAAAGAACACAACTTTTTTAACCCCACCATTTTCCCTTCACACACCCCCTCCCCGCCCGCCCCCCAAAAAACCCTCCCAAAGGAGTAGTATCCGGACAACTTGTATGCACTTCTATTATCTAATCAGGCATCTATCTCATCTTACCAGCACAAACTCTAGTATCTATTATCTTCTACCAGTATAAGTATCGAATAACTCTGCACACCAAGAGTTCGACAGATGAAAGAAATTGTCCAAATTTTTTGTCGCTACAGAAATTTGAACTCTAGTCTCCTATAGTTTCACTCACTTAATTGACCGTTAGGCACAACCTTGTATGCCCCTTTCTTCCCTGGTTTCCTTTTCCAAGTGTAATCCCTCTACTCCTAATAAATGATGGACTTAAAACAGGAAAACAAAGATCTTTGCAATCTACATACAAAGTATTCACTTTTATTTCCCTTTTGAGTACCTAGTTCCTCTGTTGCTCTTGACTCTTTAAAAGTTACATGTCCGATCCTCCAAAAGTAGTGCATTTATTGAGGATCCGACAAGGGTGCGACGTCATATTTGGAAAGTCCGCGGAACATAGCCTAGCTCCACCAAAGTAAATGGTATTGGTATCAACTCATTCTTGAAAAATTTGGAAGCTAAATCTAGAACCCCATTTAGCATAAAGTGATGATCTAAAAGGCATTTTTCATATTTCAACTTTAATTTTTACATGATAGCAAGTTAACAACGGTAAAAAAAACAGAGGAAAGAGAGGAAACTACTATCATAACTAAGGGTTACTACTAGCCTGCCTTTGATTTTTTGCTATTGTTCAAAGTGTGGTCCAGCACACAACTACAAAAGAGGGTACAAAATAAACACAGAGAGAGACCCCACTCTCATTAATCAGTTCATCTGTCCTTTACGTATACATTATGTATTTGTTGTAAGTAGTATGGTATTGATGATGACAACAATCTTGAGGAGATCTTTCCTTACCAATCTTTACTTCTGTTGGTATACTTTGGCTATACAGCTAGAGGACTTTTACTTCTTGTATATGGTACTACTCAAACTTTTCTGCATAAACAATACAAAGAGAATCTAATTCAAAAGAAGAATGACAAAGAAAATTGAAACCAAAAGTAAATAAAAGAAGATTCTTTTACCAAGCTAAGTTAATCCCTCCTAGCTAGCCTTGCACAAACTCTAACACCTACATTTCAATGGCTTCTTGCCCAGAAGTAAACCTGGTCAATGACCACCTCAAATTAAGTTCTTTTCACTCTTTTTTAAAAAACAAAGAGAGTGGATTGCGAAAAGATGTTGAGAGATAAAGTACCTTGGCATGTGGAAGTAACAAGATTTAAGAGAAGCCATGTTGAGCGTAGAAGTTGTGGGAAGCATAGAGATGTTGTTAGTAGTAGTAGCAGTTATTGGGGAACTAACGCCGGCTTCAGCTGAATCAGTGGAGAATGAGGCCTGGTGTTCTGCAGCTGACTTTGTAGGAGAAGCAAAAAGGTTATCAGGAAGGATGTGCTCCAAGCTGCTTCAACATCAAACAAAAATCAATAACATTAGAAAGAATCCAAAAACACTAATTTGCGCTAATTTAGAACCAATTCCAGCAAAATTTGACATTCTCACTGGGGAAACCAAACGAAAGGAAAGCCTCCCAACTACAATCTTGAACTAAGAACATGCTGTTAATAATCTTGAAATTCCATTGAAGAAATTGATGTTCAGTACCTTTCTTGAAGATTAGAGTCGCCGGTGTTAGCGGTCTGCTCCTTGCTGCCGTTCTCGTTCCCAATATTGCTAGGCAGCATTTCCTGAGGCACCTTCTCATCAGATGCATTAGATGGGGACTTGGTAGCTTCATGGATATCGGTGTTTTCTGCAGAAAGAAATAAAATCAGCAAATACTCTATCCACCAAACTAAAGAAGAAAACAGCAAAGAATCTATCAAAGGTAAACCTGCAGGGATTTCTTCATCAATGTCATTAGACAGAGGAACAAGATTATGACTGTTTTGAGAGTGAAACTGCATCTCGGAAGCAGTTGGAAGACTAGCAGAGAGGCTCGATGGGAAGTGATCGTTGCAATGTTGATTCTTCAGGTCCATCAGTTGCAAATTCATTAACCTTCTGCCTTGAAGTTCAATGGCTTGCTGCAATTCAGCCTCCTGCTCTAATTTTCTTCTCAACATCATCTCATGCGAATTATAGAACATTCTTGCACCTATATATGAAAAGACACTTAAAACTATCAAAACAATCCATCCTACACTTTGAGAAGAAAATCAGAAGTTTAATTCATCTTCTTACCAAAGGGAAGGTCATATGGCTCCCTAGACTCGAGCGCTGATGGGCTTAAACATGCCGACAGCTCTCCTCTATCCAGCGAATGCTGTTGTTGCAGTTGCTTCCTTTAGTTTAATCAACAATGAAACATTAGACATGAATAAAGGGCCGTAATAACTCAAGAATAACATTAACATGATCAACGTTAGTACTTACTTGTCTGCGACTTTTCCCTTTTCCTTGTAAGGCTTGACAAGTACACGAGAATCACACACAAAATGAGGGTTCCCTTTAGCCAAGATGAGCTTCACAGTTTCTGGGTAGACAAACGTAACGAATCCAAACATACGCTTCTGCTGATAAGGAATTCTAACATCTTGGACTGGCCCATACATGCTTCAAAAACAAATTACAAAGGCACTTCATCATCAATTTCATTCCAATTTCAAGACTTCCAAGAATCCAGACCACAATAAACACGTACCTAAAGTAATTAGACACATCCTCCTCCTTAAATGTGCTATCAGCAGGAAATGTTAAGTAAATCTGTCGCGAACTTGAATTTGAGATACCGCCAATTGCCATTGCTGAAAAATCACTTCTATCAGGACGGCATCGACCAAATTTGTGGAATTCTTCTCCCATCATAAACGCTGCTGCAGCCGATCTGCAGTTCAGACCATACATGAATATACCTCAAATGTCCAACCAATATTCCAATTCTCAACCTCCAAATGACGTACCAATCAGAAAAAACTTAGCAGCATGTACTAGACTATAACTACCTAACCTTAAACAATGACTTGCTAATTGCTACAGATAAGTTTTTTAATACAAGTATATACCAAATCAAGCTTAAGATTAGACTAGACAGCAGCATAAATCACCAAATTACTAGCAAGACAAACATTTACAAGTTCATAATAAGGTAAGAGTGAAAAAATACTACTACCCCAGATTCAAGAAAGTTATAAAGTTAAAAACTTTCCTTAAAAGAACAGCAACCAGGAGCAAATATCAGCTAAAGGGTAAATCAAAAATACCTTTGGTTATCACTCAAGATGTTCATACACTTGTTGTAAGCAAGTGGATGATGATGAGCACCAGAAGCCATAAGAGAGGCAGCAGCAAACCTCTGTTGTTGCTGCTGTTGTAAAGCTTTCATCCTCAGAAAATCATCAAAAGAGTCAACTTTATTATTACTAGGAGAACCAACAATAGCACTAGACCCATCAGAATCTTGAAATCCACCAACACTATGCAAAAACTTACAACTATTCCCATTCTTGCAAAACCCTCTTGCATAATACATGCAAGGTCTCCAACCAAACCCCCCACTA